CTCCCCTTCAACCTATATATATGGGGGGGCACCTCTAGAACACACAACAAACATTGTTAGTCGTGTGCGGCGCCCCCTCCACAGTTCACGCCTCCGGTCATATTCACGTAGTGCTTAGGCAAAGCCCTGCACGGATCACTTCACCATCACCGTCACCACGCCATCGTGCTGACAGAACTCTCCCTCAACACTTTGCTGGATCAAGAGTTCGAGGGACGTCATCGAGTTGAACGTGTGCAGAACTCGGAGGTGTCGTATGTTCGGTGCTTGATCGGTCGGAACGAGAAAAAGTTCAACTACATCAACCGCATTGTCAAACGCTTCCGCTTTCAGTCTACGAGGGTACGTGGACACACTGTCCCCCTCTCGTTGCTATGCATCTGCTAGATAGATCTTGCGTGAGCGTAGGAATTTTTTTTAAATTGCGTCTTGCGTTCCCCAACAGAAGTGTCATGTAGTTGACGTTTAGATAACACCACTAGAGAAAGAATAACACAACATATTAATATGAAAACATTGAATGGTGATCAACTTCGCATGATTACTAATAAGAGGACTTCTCCCATGTCCTCGAGAACAAATAGAACTACTCACAACTCATCTTATTGAACATGATCAGTGGGTGTAAATATGTAATTAATAATCTAAACATAATAATCTTTCACCAAGTAAAACAACACCGTCAACTACAAGATGTAATCAACACTACAAGCACCCCCAGGTACCAATCTGAGGTAGATACAAAGACTGAACATAAGAGATGAACTAAGGTTTATAGATGAGATGGTGCTGGTAAAGATGTTGATGAAGATGAAGATTCCCATGATGAGAGGATAAGTGGTGATGATGAAGGCTTCGATTTCCCCCTCCCGGCGGAATCGCCCCGCCGAAATGCAAAAGTCCTCCTGCCCTCGTTCCGCTTCGAGGCGCTGGCAGAAAGTCCCGAAACTCTTCTATTTTTTCTCGGGAAAATAGGAATTTATGGTCAAAGGACGTCAGGAGAGGAGCCACCAGAGCCCCAGATGGACATGTGCCGCGGCCAGGGGATGGTCGCGCCACCTATTCATGTGGCTGGCTGGTGGGCCTCCTCTGGCATATTTTTGTTCCACAATTCTTCATATATTCCAAAATAATTCTCCAAAAGTCCATACTTCGTTTTGAGCTCCGGGGAATTGATATCTCTATTGTTGCTTTCTCATCTCAGATTTACAATTGTCGCTAATCTCTCTCCTTTGATGTATCTTGCATTTTAAGAGAGTAAATGCATTAAAATTGCATCACATTGTGAGATATAACATTGAAATAAAATAAATAACAGTAGGAAATTATGATGCTAAATGGATGTATCACATGGGACGAGGCCGGCATCAGCGTCGTCGTTTGCAGTTGCATGCCGATGTCGTCGACACACAATTTTATTATCCTTTTTATGAAGCTTTTTTATCAGTTCCATTTTTTCTCAGTGGATTTGTGTAACAACAGCCTTGTACGTGTGCTAAAACCACTGGAATTTCAGGTTTTAAGCACTCAACTATGGCAATTTGTCATTGATACATATGGCAAAAAAAGACCATGGCATCTTTAGGAACTATTTTCTCTAGACCATGGTAGTCTCAATAACCAAATGCCCAACTTTTCCCATGTGTCCCTTATAAATTCCAAAAAAAGTTGCTATGTTACAATCAGTTTTCCCAAATAAGTTGCCATGTTCTTTATAAATAGAAATGGATGCTTCATAGTTGCCATGACTAATTTCATGGGATGTTTCTCAAGTTACCATGGCATTTTCCACTGAACACGGAAAATCAACATTCCCATAATTGTTTTTCATAAGAATATATCATGGCATTGTGTGTTCTGGTGTCATAACTTGGGACAATTCAGCAAGATAACAAATATGTGTTTGTGCAATCCTTTTTATGGGCTGGTTCAACACACAAGTTTATGAGTTTAAAGGTGGATTGGTAATAAAAATCATGGCAATTTTTGCTATTCTCTACCATGTTTTATAGATAGTTTTTGCCAAAGTTTGCCTTGTTTAAGACTGTTAGTTATAGTCCATGACAAAAAAGATCAAAAAGTTTTTCTGAAAACCATGACATTTCTTTGTGTAATTTGCCACGACATTTTTTTAAAGATAATGGCATTTTTATTATTAAGAGCATGACATTTTAATTTTTGAGAGCTTGGCAATCTATAGAACGGTAAACTTATTTTTAAATTGCATGGCAATTCTAACTTTTGAATCACAATAATTTATTTGTGTGTGATTGTTTTGACAAAGAAAATACACAATATGGCAACTTTGATTTTTTTTATCATGGCATTTTTATTATTAATATCATGGAAGTTTTACTACTAATAGCATGGTTTTAAATAGTAAGAGCATGGCATTTTTATTATTAATAGCATGACATTTTAGTTTTTTTAAGAGCGTGATATTTTTATTATCAAGTGTTATGTTCTTTTAGTTTTCGGTCTTTTCCAAATTTATTTCTTTATTTCTAGTTTTTTCCTGATTTTCGTGAAAAAAGATCATCTAAACGTACTAACATGGGCTTTAGTTTGAAACATCTCGATGTGAGAAATTCAACGATAAAATTTGTTCATGATTTTGGACGCACGATCGAAGAGATGAAACGTTTTGAAAACCCAAATCTAAAACAAAAAAAAGTCACAGGTTGTAACAAGTGACACACATGCGGTGTGTCACTTGTCAGCACCAAAGAAGATGAAAGTGACATTTAGAAAGAGTACCTGTTATGGTTTTTTTTAAACACCTATAATTTTATTCATGCTCATAACAATTACAGGTACGCTCATTTGGACCTAAGATCCAAGAAAATATAAAGTAGCTCCTATGACTAAGAATTATAATAAAATTTCTTGAAAACACTTTCTTCGTGGTATCAATCTCTGCTCAAAGAAATACTCGAAAGACTTGGACAAAGGGACTGCAATTGGACTGGAGCAACAATGTTATCATTCTTTCACCCGCGCGAACATTATCAATAATGGTTTTTGAAAGCGCCTTGAATCGTCCATCCAAAAAGATGGGAAGCCTTGATCGATGAACGTGCCTGGGCCTGGGGTGATCCCCTAGAAGTCACTGTATCTTTACCACCATGATGTCGATGAAAGCTTTCACCCCCACGAAGTACCCCTGTATGTATAAGTTTTTTTTTTTTTTGAGAATCCCTGTATGTATAAGTGATTTGTCGGTACGTGAGCGACGGAGCTAAAGCCCATTTGTAGTGTTGTATTTCCAAGGCCCGTTGTAGATCTACTCTTCAGGACTGGGCGGCCCAAGCCCTCCCTGCCGCACGTGCTGCGTGGTTGGCTTACCGAGAGCTGATCCGAGACCGCGTGGTCGTTGGTGAGGCTGGAAGAGTGCGAGCGAGTGGGAAGTGATGCTGAGCAGGATCTGCATAACCACGGCGTGATCTTCGAGCTCGGCTGCTAACTAGAACTAGGGGTTGTTCAGGTCTGAGTCAAAGCTTTGTTTCGCGTACACTGCATACGTGCGACGTGCGTGCGAAAATGATACCTCTTGCTTTTCTTCTCTGCACAAAGAGGTGCTCGTGTTACACGGCGTAGAGTGGTACAATGTCGGCCGTGCATGCTTCCACGGCCTGTCGGTCGCCGGTTAGACGGTCGCTGTCTCCCGTAGACATGCGTCCGGTCGATGCGCCGTGGCGTGGTTTTTCCTAAAGTAAAACAGCCAAGGACCCCCTTGATGTGACAAATTGAAGGGCCCCCTCAATCGCTCTGTCGTTGATCATGTGGAACAAGTGCGCTCCTTTGTTTGGTTATGTAGGCTATGATGATGGCCGCCTAGCTAGATCCGGGCAAGCCGTGGAAACTAGCTAGCTAGACAAGGCCGTCTCAGGTCCAAAACTGGAGCTCGCTACATCATCACTAGTAATCTACGCATGCCTTGCTTCACTACATATATATAGTGAGTTCTCCCTCCGTAAAGAAATATAAAAGCATTTAGATCATTAGAATAGTGATCTAAACGCTCTTATATTTGTTTACAGAGAGATTACATTTTAACATCTGAAAACCTTTTATTACAAATTTTGACCGAGTGTAGGGGAAATGATCTGTGTCTACAATGGATAGCCGTGGAAGAGAGAAGAAACCAGGCACAGAGGAGGGGACAGACAGACTGTGTGCGGGTCTGAGCGTATAGGCGATCGGCGTGCGTGCCTTCACTTTGCCGGCAGACAGTAACCCAGCTGGTGTACACGTATGGTATTTCTCGTTGCCCAACTGCTCCGCTCCGCCAAAGCAGCGCAGCGCGGCAGTAGTAAAATGCAAGTGCCGAGCGAAGGCGACGGCATAACAGCAACAACAGTCCATCACAAAGGACAAATCACACACAGCAAATTTCCTATTCGCGGCCACATGGACTGCTCGCAGACGCACGGAGCAAAGCCCCCCAACTTAGGCCCTAATCGTCCTCTCACTGACAGTGACCAAAACGTCGGCCACCATCACAAGCCAAAAGTAGCAGCCAAACCATACACATTTCGCGTGTAAATCCTTCCTCAAAGTACACAGAAGCAGAAGCATTCCAATTAATCCATGGTGCGGTTGGTGTACCCAGAACAAGTATCACTCACTATGCATTCCAAAGTACTACATTACAGATGATGACGACGACGACAACAACAACAACAACAACAGTATCACTTCATTTGAAGGTAAACTGTCAAGAAGAAGAGAATTAACCCAATCTAGTTATCCACCGAAGACCCATCCATCGATTCTTACAAAAGAATTGGGACCTCACAGGCCGAGTCCCAAGCCATATATCTACAACCCCAACATTTCATTTTCATTTCATTCCATTTCAGCCTCTCTCTGATGATCATCAGCCAGAGCCACCTCTCGCGTTCGGTGATGCTTCAAATGGCACATTCCACGCGCTTCATCAAATGCAAAAAAGAGAAAACCCCATTATACTGCTTGCTTGCTGTAGTATCCTATCATCATCACTCCACCTGCTCGCCGATGAGGTCGAGCCCGACGACCAAGAACGACACCCCCTGGAACAGAAGGAAGTAGAAATGTATGCCCTGAACCGAGAGCAGGCTGCGAGCTGCTGCTGTCAAGAGGAGGAAGGACAATGCTAGTTCTTTCCTGTATAACCTATTGTGTTTCTTCTTTTTAGGTTCCGATTTCGGGTACAATTCCTCCTTTGCTGCTAGGGAGTCGAGGTTGGGCGCGGACCCTACTCTCTGCTGCTTGGATTGCTTCTCGTTCTCGACGAGGGCGACGAGATCGCCCTCCGAAGACCGGCCGGATTTCTTGGTGACGACCCACTCGTAGGCGCTCCCGAGCTGGAACAGGCCGGAGATCATGGCGTTGAACTTGGTCACCGACATGGTGTTCTCAAACAGAAGGTAGGGGACGATGAATGGGAAGGACTTTGGGGCTGGGAGGATGTTGAGCAAGGACATGGTTGCTGGAATGTAGCACACCACCCAGGCAGGTAGCTCTGCTTCAGGAGCAAACATTGTCATTGGAAGTATGACGCAGAAGAGGGTGAATGAATAGAAGGGCAGAATCAGTTTTCGGAGGAGAAAGAAAAGGAATATCAAGTTGAATTTCTTCCAGAACCCAATCTGCAACAGAGGTAGGTAATGTCATTCAGTGGTACATAAATATATGGGGCAAACATTTGAAAACTAAGGGTGCTCATCAGGTGTAAGAATGTTGATCAAAACGAATTCGCGCATTTTTACAAACCACATAGGCCGATTGATTTTCCAGACTAATAGAGTTTGCCCAAAATTTGATAGTACTGTGTGATATTGACCAAATAAACTTCATTGCAATTTGCAAAATGTGAGGAGGCAATACATAAATGATGACCCTTGGTAAGAAGGGAATTTATCAAAGCGAGCGAGTCAAAATGTAAATCTAATTATAAGATTAAAATAGAACCATTAAACAATATGCGAGTTAAAATGATTTTAACTGACCAAACTTCAAGCAGAACAAAGTTTATACAACTGTATAGTTTAGTCATGAAAACTTGCAAACATACGTCCTACTTGTGCTTCCTGGGAAATAATCAGCCTTGTAAATATTCATCCTGCGGATGTGACTTGTCATACTAATCAAACTGTACTTAATTAAGCAACTGAATGCAGCTAAAACCTTGTTAACCGCAAGAAAGGGACAAGCCTAAACCAAGTATACTTACAACAGAAGTAAATTTTGAAGTATAATGCAGTTCAACTCATCTTTTCCCCAAAAAAAGACTCATCTTCCAAAATATGCCTAAGTTCATACCTTCGATTTGATAATGTCCACAAAGCAGAGTCTAAACAACTGCATCGGACCAGAATGCCATCGATGCTGCTGTTTTCTGTATGCTTCATATGACTCCGGCAATTCGCACTGGCACTGAAAGGAAAATTCGTGTAGCACAGTTTGAATGATCAGTGAAGCTTCGAATACCATACAGAAAAGTCATAAACCACAAGAGAGGTTATTCAAGTACCTCAACGTCGTTAAGATAGAGAAACTTCCATCCCTTTAGATGTGCTCGGACAGCAATATCCATGTCTTCAACTGTCGTTCTCTCCATCCATCCTCCAGAGTCCTCGAGTGCCTTAATTCTCCACACTCCCGCGGTTCCGTTGAACCCGAAAAAATTGAGGAATGCCCCATTAACCTGCTGTTCCACCTCAAAGTGGAAGCACAGATTTATGTTTTGCAGCCTAGTTAACAAGTTCTCATCCTTGTTTACAAAAGACCACCTTGCCTGAACTAGTCCAACATCCTCTTTGCCCTGAAAGTCGCACACGCAGCTAGTCAGATGATAGAACTTTCATGGGCTCGTCATCATTAGATAAGAATGAATGTGAATTTTGAGCTATACCTTGAAATGGGGCACAGTTAGCTTCAGGAAGTCTTCTTGTGGTTGGAAATCAGCATCAAAGATAACAACAAACTCATAGTCTTTCACATAGCTGCAGTTCATGGCAGACTTGAGATTTCCAGCCTTGTAGCCATCACGAATCACCCGGTGCCGGTACAATATCCGGACACCCTCCCGTTGCCATTTCTCAACCTCCTCTCTGATGAGAGCAGAAGTCGCAGCATCATCAGAATCATCGAGCACCTGCACCAAGAAATTCGATCTCGGCCAGTCCAGATTGCAGACAGCTCCAATGGATTGCTGATACACCTGCAAACACGCATACAAATCAAAGGAATGAGCTAAAATTTGATTCAAGATTCATCATAGTTGCACAGATTATTCAATATTTCCCTGATTCAGTATTGTTCAAAATGAAGCCTACCATTAAAAAGAACAAGAACAATAACTAACTTAGGAGCATGAAACATTAAAAAGCATCATTAAACAAACAAGACTATAATGGAGTATTGAATAAGCGGCACCCTCATTTGACAGCAGCAAATGAATTGAATTGGCAGCCGCGTCTAAAATGTGTCTTGGGATGGAAAAGATAGACAAGCATAACTGGGATGTGCTTTAGAAACACTCGAGCACCCCATCCCCAAAAATGGAACTCTTCAGCCCACATACTCCATTCCGGGATCGAATCTTCAACCAAACAGTTCATGATGACAACACCCAACACTCAGTAGTAGTAGTAGTAGCCATCACGTTAACCAACTAGTAGGAGCTTTGGTCAAAAAACAAGAGAAACCGTTTCAGTCCCAACTTGCAAGCAACACTCCAGTCCAGTCCCCAAAGTGATAGGGGCCAATATTTTGCGTTACTGGCACTGCAGCCAAGATGGATAACCCAATCTCAACTATCCACTGCATCCTATGGCTCTTATCTATCCGCCGGTTAATTTTCGGTCCCGGGATTGCAGCTCAAATCCGAATCTTTCGATGCCTGCGACCACCAATGCGGCGGCCGGCCGGGGCGGCCGACGCCCAATCCCAGGCCGCGACCTTGATTTCACCTTCAGGCACAGAAAAAATGGCAGGCGGAGAAGTGGAAATTCGTTTCTTTTGGTTTTTGTAGCTCACCTCCTTCTCGTTGCACATTGGAATCTGGACGAGCACCATGGGGAACTCCCCCTCCTCCTCCTCCTCCTGGGCGCCGGCCTCGACGTCGTCCGAGCCTTTGCCGTTGCCGGCGGCGGCGGCGTTGGGCACGGGCCTGATCCCCCTGAGCTTGATCCAGAAGCAGCCGAGGCAGAGGATGAGGCGGTCGGCGCTCTGGATCATGAAGAGCACGACGCAGGCGTTGGTGAGGAACTGCAGCGCCGGGCCGAGGTAGGCGGCGCGGGCGCGCATCCAGGCCGCGTAGCCCGCGGCGAAGAGGCCCTCGACGGCCTCCAGGTCAGGGAGCGCGGCGAGGTGCCAGCCCTGGGCGTGCGCGGCGACGTCGGCGGCGAGGAGGAGCAGGGAGAGGAGGAGGGAGGCGCGGATGAAGCCGTAGAGCCTGGTGCGCAGCGCGGGCCTGCCGGCCCCCGGCCCCGGCGGCGCGCCGTCGGCGTCGGCGTCGGAGTCGGTCCGGCCCGCGGCCACCCGCCTGCGCGCGGCCGCCGCCACGGAGAGCGCGGCGGTGGCGGCGCCCGTGAGCTTCCCGGCGGCGCGGTGCGCCTTGAGGAGCAGCACCCAGGTGATCTGGCGCGCGTTCTTGCCGCGGCCGTCCTTGCCCCCCGCGGCGGGGGAGCCCGGCGGCGGCACCTCGGAGATGGCCCAGTCCGGGGTCTGCATCTTGACCACGACGGGCGTCCCCGTCACGCCGCCGGACACCCCTCCCCGCGCCTCCTGCCCCCACCACGGCGCCATTGCCGGCCCCGGACCCCAGATGCCGCCCCCTTGGCGGCTGCGGCTGTGGCTCCGGCCCCCCTCACCTCCTCATCAACACACACACACACACTCTCTGAGGCTAGGCTGGAGCTAGAGGTGGACGGACGCCAAGACGGAAGAAGAGACAGGGGAAGAAGGAAATGGCAGGAGGAAGGACGGGGACGGATGGCAGGCGGGCAGGCAGCAGCAGGATCCCACGCGCGCACGGAGCGTAGCGTAGCGTAGAGTGAGGCGCGGCAGCAGGGAGGAGTGAGGGGAGGAAGATGGAGGAAACAGCTCAGCTCTGAGTAGCTCACCACGTCGCGGCGGGGGATCCAATCCAACTTCCCCTCGGCTCAGCTCGGGACAAGCCGGGCCTTTATACATACACACCCCTACTCTCCCCTATGATTACCACACCGCCGCGAGCCGGGCGCGAGCACCACCGCCACCCCCGTAGAAAAGAGAAGAAAATTCAGAGCTCCTCTGGTTTCACTTTGGCCTCTGGTTCCAGCTGGAGACCAGAGTAGGAGTGGAGGACGGCTTTTAAGCAGCTATCCCTCCTCCATGAATAAATGTACTTCTATCTTATCTCTGTGATAGGTCAAAGATTTATAATTTTAATCAATTTTATAGAAAAATGTAACCATATGTGACGTCAACTTGATATATTATGAAAGTACATTTCAAAGCGAATCTAATGATACTAATTCAGTGCCATAAATGCGACTATTTTTTCTATAAAGTTGATACTGCGGCAAAATCCAGATGTACACTTATTCCGCGGACGGACAGAGAGAGTAGCTCTCGCTCCCTGCCCAACGCTGGGCCCCGTTCATCAGCTCGATTAACGTACTACTGTTAACATGAAGTTGGTAATAATCCCCAGTTGGATTGGAAAGCAGCGGCGGGATTGACTAGTTAACGTGGAAACCATGGTGTTCTTGTCGTCGGGATCTGCAAATGGCAGCGGGACGACGCTTCCATCTACCGCGTGTCTGTGTCTCATTAGCATAAGAGTACTACTACTAGCATGGGTAACTTGACAAGAGCTTACTGTAGTTAGTTGTAAGCTGGAAGGGAAGGGGCGGCGAGTGCAACGGGACACGTGATGATGAGATGATTCGTTGCGTGGAGCCAGGACGGTGTCGGTGGCGACCCCCAGCCCCCAGCCCCAGCCCGGCCCACACACGTCCGGCCGTCTCCATCCCCATCCATCCATTCATCCACCGGTCCGGTCCGGTTCGGTTGGGGTTGGGGTTGGGTACTTTGGCTAGGTATATATCTCCAACGCGGACCTATAGAATAGGCATTGTGTTTGTCTGCAATGTGATATGAGAGTAAATCATCTAACTGTGCCGTACATCTTTTATAAAAGGAATTTAATCATACCAGATAATTTTCATTTTAATCAGATCAAATTAATTATATTCCCATATATTTTAACTAAACAATAACGGACGACCTTTTTTGACATGATCTAAATATTTGCCTGCCGCGAAGGCACTTGTGTTGCACGTCCTGTGCTCCCATGTCCAGCAAGCTCAACGGCAATGAGCCTCACGAAGTGAAGCTACGAGATGTGAAGAATAGGACGTGGAACACGGCCCATATGAGATACCAGATGTGGTTGTCTGCCATCTCCTACTCTTCGTCGCCAGAGTCTGTCTTGTGGACAGCGTCAGACGTGGATGGACCGGCCTCGCGGTCGTTGCGGACGAGCGCAAACGGCTTGGGTGGCGTGGTCGACGCGGAGCTGGCGACGTCCTACAACTGTGCCTCCTCTTCGTACACATCCGCGTCGATCTTCCTGAACAGTGTATCCCTCTCCGCCCGCAGGATGTGCAGCTACCAACACTAGCGGCGGATGTTGCAGGCGTTGTGGACCAGGAATCCCGGATCGTCTGCCACCATGGCCACGACGGTATTGTCGTTGGCCTACTCACGGACGATTTGTCCCTCCGCGAGCTGGTGCTCGTCGAGGGGACAAAGTGTGTGGTGTTGTTCCTTCTACGCCTGTCGGCACACCGACACCAACGGCACCGGATGCTCTTCAGCCATTACAACGTCGAAGTATGCCTGCACCTGCTCCAAGGTGAAGCCAACATGGCCCGGTGCTGGCGGTGGCGCCGGCTCGTTCGTACATCATCTCGTTGTCATCCCTGACCTCCGGTGAGCTCGCCGACAAGCCTTGCTCTGTCTGATTCGCAAGGTCGGCTTGCCAGACGACCGCAATGCCAGCCAACTCGTGATTTTGCTTCGTTGAGAGGCTCTCCCACATTACTCTATAGCTCGCAGCCATAGTGGAGGTGGTGCGGTACGGATCATGCCGGCCCTGGCCTTGTTATAAACAGTGGGCGATGGTCAGGCCAAGCGTCAGGTTATTCAATGTGGGGCGCGTCACTTGGTTTCTCAAACTGCCACGCATGTTCAGTGCCGACAATGAAGGAAATATGCCCTAGAGGCAATAATAATGTTATTATTTTATTTCCTTATATCATGATAAATGTTTATTATTCATGCTAGAATTGTATTATCCGGAAACATAATACTTGTGTGAATACATAGACAAACTAAACGTCACTAGTATGCCTCTACTTGACTAGCTCATTAATCAAAGATGGTTATGTTTCCTAACCATAGATATGTGTTGTCATTTGATTAACGAGATCACATTATTGGGAGAATGATGTGATTGACATGACCCATTCCATTAGCTTAGCACCCGATCGTTTAGTATGTTGCTATTGCTTTCTTCATGACTTATACATGTTCCTATGACTATGAGATTATGTAACTCCCGTTTGCCGGAGGAACACTTTGTGTGCTACCAAACGTCACAACGTAACTGGGTGATTATAAAGGAGCTCTACAGGTGTCTCCAAAGGTAAATGTTGGGTTGGCGTATTTCGAGATTAGGATTTGTCACTCCGATTGTCGGAGAGGTATCTCTGGGCCCTCTCGGTAATGCACATCACATAAGCCTTGCAAGCATTGCAACTAATGAGTTAGTTGCACGATGATGTATTACGAAACGAGTAAAGAGACTTGTCGGTAACGAGATTGAACTAGGTATTAAGATACCGACGATCGAATCTCGGACAAGTAACATACCGGTGACAAAGGGAACAACGTATGTTGTTATGCGGTCTGACCGATAAAGATCTTCATAGAATATGTAGGAGCCAATATGAGCATCCAGGTTCCACTATTGGTTATTGACCGGAGACATGTCTCGGTCATGTCTACATTGTTCTCGAACCCGTAGGGTCCGCACGCTTAAGGTTTCGATGACAGTTACATTATGAGTTTATGAGTTTTGATGTACCGAAGTTAGTTCGGAGTCCCGGATGTGATCACGGACATAACGAGGAGTCTCGAAATGGTCGAGACATAAAGATTGATATATTGGACGGCTATATTCGGACACCGGAAGTGTTCCGGGTGATTTCGGAGAAAACCGGAGTACCGGAGGGTTACCAGAACCCCCCCCCCCGGGAGAAGTAATGGGCCATATGGGCCTTAGTGGAGAAAGAGAAGGGCAGCCAGGGTGGGCCACGCGCCTCCTCCCCCCTAGTCTGAATTGGACTAGGAGAGGGGGGCGGCGCCCTCCTTTCCTTCTCCCTCCCCACTTCCTTCCCCCTCCTAGTAGGAGTCCTACTCCTACTAGGAGGAGGACTCCTCCTTGGCGCGCCTATAGGGCCGGCCGGCCTCCTCCCCTTGCTCCTTTATATACGGGGGCAGGGGGCACCCCTAGACACACAAGTTGATCCACGTGATCGTTTTCTTAGCCGTGTGCGGTGCCCCCTTCCACCATAATCCTCGATAATATTGTAGCGGTGCTTAGGCGAAGCCCTCCGACGGTAGTACATCAAGATCGTCACCACGCCGTCGTGCTGACGGAACTCTACCCCGACACTTTGCTGGATCGGAGTCCGGGGATCGTCATCGAGTTGAACGTGTGCTAAAACTCGGAGGTGTCGTAGTTTCGGTGCTTGATCGGTCGGGCCGTGAAGACGTACGACTACATCAACCGCGTTATGCTAACGCTTCCGCTGTCGGTATACAAGGGTACGTAGATCACACTCTCCCCTCTCGTTGCTATGCATCACCATGATCTTGCGTGTGCGTAGGAAAATTTTGTAATTACTACGTTCCCCAACAGATTTCACAAGAGAACCAAGCACATCAAGAGACGCTTCAATTCCATCCGGGATCTAGTCCAGGTGGGAGACATAGAGATTTGTAAGATACATACGGATCTGAATATTGCAGACCCGCTGACTAAGCCTCTTCCACGAGCAAAACATGATCAGCACCAAAGCTCAATGTGAAGGAAATATGCCCTAGAGGCAATAATAAAGTTATTATTTATTTCCTTATAATCATGATAAATGTTTATTATTCATGCTAGAATTGTATTAACTGGAAACATAATACATGTGTGAATACATAGACAAACAAAGTGTCACTAGTATGCCTCTACTTGACTAGCTCGTTAATCAAAGATGGTTATGTTTCCTAACCATGAACAATGAGTTGTTATTTGATTAACGAGGTCACATCATTAGTTGAATGATCTGATTGACATGACCCATTCCATTAGCTTAGCACCCGATCGTTTAGTATGTTGCTATTGCTTTCTTCATAAGTTATACATGTTCCTATAACTATGAGATTATGCAACTCCCGTTTGCCGGAGGAACACTTTGGGTGCTACCAAACGTCACAACGTAACTGGGTGATTATAAAGGAGCATTACAGGTGTCTCCAAAGGTAGATGTTGGGTTGGCGTATTTTGAGATTAGGTTTTGTCACTCCGATTGTCGGAGAGGTATCTCTGGGCCCTCTCGGTAATGCACATCACATAAGCCTTGCAAGCATTGCAACTAATGAGTTAGTTGCAGGATGATGTATTACAGAACGAGTAAAGAGACTTGCCGGTAACGAGATTGAACTAGGTATTGGATACCGACGATCGAATCTCGGGCAAGTAACAT